TGTGAGACTGAGTGTCTGTGAGAAGTGGGAGGGGCTTCTTTAAAATGGCTGCTTGCTGAGGACAGTAACTGCCAAGTGTTGCAGCTTTCATCTGGATTCACCAGTCTCCAGTAACACAGGAAAAGATGTCACAAGCCGCTTTTTTGGAGGGAAAAACCTTCAGCTATGCTTATTAACTTTCAGATTACTGACTGTCACATTTTAATGTGTTTTTCCACTGAATGTTGCTATTTTTTCCATATTTTTTCCACATTCATGAGCGTTCTTTGGCATTTTCACAGCTGTTGTGCAGGAACAGATCGTTCTTATTAATGAGGTTAACCATTTTTCAATTATTAAGAAACTTGTACTTTTTTAATCTATTAGTGCTGAACATTGTTGCCATTAATGAATTACTTTAGTAAGTTGAACAGAGGTGTCACTGATTGCTTCTAATGTTGTCAAAGATAATTCTGAACCAAAGCAGACTATAAATAGATCTACTTTCTAAGTAATTCCTCCATGTAAACCCTTTGGTAGGACGTTATACAGACAAAAACGTGTAAAACTACAGAAGATATCAAATTAAAAAGTTGCTTATGGTTACTCGACCTCAACAATATGAGGACATTGTGACACACACACTGAAGTATAAAGGGGGTGTTGGTACTCAGAATGGATGAAACCAAAGTATTTCTGCCAAAATATACTGGAACAAGTCATAGCAATGACGATATAGTGAAACTTTTACTCACAAAGATTGCTGAGAGGCATTATTCCTATGCACTGGACCCACCTGAGACCTGATTTATTTGGGTTTAATTGGAAATAGACGTGTGTAATAACCTGTTGGAAGGTTGAGGTGGATGTACTGCCTGTTTCTGGTTCTCCTGAGGGTTCATTCAGGATCTGTACACTTGGTGTCTGCAACAAAACATACAAATACACTTTTAAATTCATTCAGTTATAAACTAATGATCATCCTAATAAAATGAGGGTGGAAGCCAATTCTCCTGAACCCTATAGAGAGATTAACATATTAGTGTATCTCGCCCTCAACAAAATGAGGACATTGTGACATACACACTAATGATTATTCAAACTACATGTGGACGTCAAATCAAACACTATCAAGTCTTTCAACATTAAGACAATATGAGGACATTGTAACACACACACACTATTAATTATGTAGACCAAATGAGGACATGACGACTAAAAACATGTTGAATCTATCTTCCCAACTACTGACATCTTCTAATGTTGTCAAAGATAGTTCTGAACCAAAGCAGATTACAAATAGATCTACTTTCTAAGTAATTCCTCCATGTAAACCCTTTGGTAGGACGTTATACAGACAAAAACGTGTAAAACTACAGAAGATATCAAATTAAAAAGTTGCTTATGGTTACTCGACCTCAACAATATGAGGACATTGTGACACACACACTGATGATTTTTCAAACTACATGTGGACGTCAAATCAAACACTATCAAGTCTTTCAACATTAAGACAATACAAGGACATTGTGACACACTTATAATTATTTAGACCAAAAGAGGACAAAAAAAACACTTAAAACATGTTGAATCTATTTTACCAACTAAACCAAAGCCTAGGATAATTCTACTGGACCCTATACAAAGAATTAACATGGTTGCATGTCTGCAATGTACAAAAATGTACTAGTAGGGTGCATATTTTTTATCTTTAAACTTACCAGAGCTTGCCATGGAGCATCTCCATAGTCATATGTTAGTTCACGCTCTGCTTGGATATTTTTATGAGCAAACAAGCAAAGATGAGGTTTACCCTGGATAGTCAGCTTTTTCATTTTGAAGTTTGGGGATTTATGACTATCATTGACCAACCGGACAAAGGAGCCATCTTCATTGGAGGCATCATTGCTAAATTAGAAGATGGAGAGTTATCTGTGTTTTTCTCTAAAACCATAAGGCTGCAACGAACATGGTTTTGTAGACCACCATATATCTCTGTTCCACTTAAAATCAAACAAGAAAGCATTTTGCTTCTCGGTGTACTTTTTCTGTCTCTTTTCACGTTCGTGTTTTGAGATCAACTTCCCACGGTACTCAGCAACAAAGGATCCCCTTTCTATTGGCGCACACGCAAACAGTAAGTCTGGCTCTTCTTTTTGACATTCTATTCTTGCGAGATTATAGTTCTTAAACCTGCAAACATCAATAGGTGAAATGACAAGTCAACAAAATGAATATCAATAAAATAAAAACAAATAAAAACAATACAAATATCAATGCCTACATTGACTAGTAGAATTTATTAAATAGTCATTTCTTGCCTTGATTGAAACTTATCTCATATCTTATCAGAGCATTTGGCCAGTAAATTGGTCAACCTATGTGTAACTGTGATTAATTATATGACCTTGTTAAATTAAATTGCTAATCTTAACCATCCAAAATACCAGCAAAGTATATTCAAGAATAAATACTGCTATTCAAACATTAAAACAATCCAAAACAATCATATTGCTCTTTTAAATTTAATAAAATATGTTGTGTGCTGAAATAAAATTGAACACATAGAAAAAATAACCTCAACAGCTAATTCTGTCACGGAAAAAAGGTCGTTTGGAAAAAAAACACGTGTTGCGGCCCTCCCTCATTAACCTTAATATAAACTCGCTGTGCCTTGTTAACCTGACAACAGTAATATTTGACGACAACTTCAACTCTGTCAACAGTGTAAGACAGAGAAAACGTGATATATTATAATTTATTTTCAACCCCTTCAGATTCTTAGAGTAATTTGGGGTATTTAAAGTCTCCATTAACACGCTGTCAACTTACCTTGTTAAACACGCCACGCCGAAAATCTCCGGAGCGGACCAAATCTCCGGAGCGCAGAAAGTCCCGGATGTTCAGTTTACCTGGCGCTCTGATAAACGTATCAGAATCTTTATATTTCCTCCGTAAACAACGCGGTCCTTTCGGAAACTTTGAAAAATTATTCCATAGTGACGAATCCTGCATGTAATGTCATCACAAGCTTACCATTGAATTTATTCGTGTTCAAAATTGCTAGCCATGCACTCAGTCTTTGGCTGAGCGTATTGACCAATCAAACGATTTGTTAGGGAATTTAAAACCAATTAAAAAGTCGGAGGTTTCAGAGTGGCTGCATAATTAATCTCATACAAAATATAATGTGGAACACCTCAATATGTGATCCTCCATATGATTACAATTAATTACAAGGAAAAATACATCTTGTTTTTCTCTTTATTTATTATTCCAATTCCAATTGTTTGTAGGGGTGAATGTGAGTGTTTATGGTTGTTTGTATCTTTGCGGCCCTGTGATTGACTGTCAACCTGCCCATGGACTCAGACCATCCCATTTTGTAGCAACAACCAGTCACTGAAATCTCCTTTCTGTTTTGGATATGTATGTATGTGTAAATGTTAATATATAATTAGTAGGGAACCTCATTCCCTATTTTCCTTATTGTAATTAAATTTCCACTTTGTTTAAACATCTAATATATCTTTATTTGCATACAATACATAGTTTTATTTACACTTGTACACTTTTATTGTTTTTTTTTTGTGTGCACTACATTTATTACATCAGCTTCGCTGCTGTCCAATGGGAATTTCCCCATGAGGGACAAATAATGGCTATCCTTTCTCATTCTATTCTACATATATACACAGAATTCTTTATACTATACAGATTAATATACAGTACTTAATATAATTTATCAGTCATCCCTTGATTAATTCTCTTCTAATACAAGGAGTATTAAAGAAGAATCTTTTATTTGACTCTGAATTCAGGAATAGGTATTGATGTAATACTTAAACCTGCTTAAGAGGTTGAGGTGTGTGTTAGTGTTTGAACATTGTGACATATGAGTACAAGTGTGTGAAAAGTGTGTTAAGATCCAAAACTGGCCACTAGTTGGCGTAATTGAAGATGAGCAAAAACGCTAAACACACTCACACACAAATTTTCGGAAATTTATGATATTTTAGGACAATGGAGATATTTGGTGTAGGGCATTTTTGGGGCTTCTAGAACACTGTAGTATGCTCAGAAAAATGAGGCCGCAAAAAATGTCCTCATTTTTCCACGCGTCCTGATATTGAAAGTGTGTATTCACAAAATTGTCCTGATATGTCATGAAAACAAACACAAACACACACACACACACATAGGTTTTTGTGGATTAGAGCAGTGGTTCTCAAACTTTTTTCAGTGATGCACCCCCTTAAAAATATATTTTTAGTCAAGTACCCCCTGACACAGGCAAAACATTTTTGGAAGAAAAAAGAGGTACAGTGCTGTAAAATCACTGTCTTATTTATTAAAGCCAAACAACTGATCCATACTCCAACCATTGCATGTAGAAAAAAAAAGAAAAACAGAAGACGGTGACCACCAGGAAGGCATAAAATCAGTCAAAACTGAAATATGCTGCTAACGCTGCTAATTTATATTGGTCTCTGTAATGGTACAAAATTGAATATTTACATAAATAACTCAAATGTGTTCACAGAAATAAATCTATTACTTAATTATAAATAAATTATATTTTGTTTACAAAATACATGAACTTAAATAAAGATTTGCTTACAAAAAAATAAAGGTTACATCTTTTAGGATAAAAAAAAAGAAGATTGCACTTCAATCACTTTGCATTGAACATTTGATTTGATTTGAACAGTATGTAACAGGCAGTGATTTATGAACAGGAAAAAAATGACTCAATACATTTTAATGAGAAATATGGGCTCGCACCTCACTGAGGATCTTTGTCATTCTTATTGGCAGGGAGGCAACTGCAGTGATCAAGATCTTCTCCAGGCACAGTCTGTTTCTTTGCTTTGTTTTGATCAGCATCATTGCAGAGAAGGAGGCCTCACATAAATATGTGGAAGCAAAGGGTAGCAGCTGCTCCAAAGCTTTCTGTCCCAGCTCAGGGTGCTCCTGCCTCACACACACCCAAAACTGTGTGAGCGTGGATGCACCAAACTTCATCTGCAGGCCACGGTCAGATGCTACCTCCATTAGTTTTTCCTGATGACTGACAGGAAGCTTGCTTCTGTTTGCTTCAGACAAGAGAAATGGATTTCTCACCCAATCCAGCTGTGCAGATTTCTCATCCATGTCAGCAAAGTAGGAGTGAAAACCACTGATCAAGTTAGCCAAAAGTCCCACTATGACTAACTTCACCGGAGCTGTCGCCACATCCTCACTGCAGAGAAAAGCATCCAGCTGAGGAAAGCAGGTGAAATCCTCCATGCCCTTTTCCACATCTCTGCTTTCTTCAGGAAACCACCCACCTTGTCATACAGGTTCAGGATGCTGGTGCCCTTGCCCTGCAAGGACATATTCAGTTCATTCAGTTTCCTGAATATATCTGCCAGATAGCAAAGCTTTGCAAGCCAGTCCGTGTTCTCAAACAAGGTGGCATGGGGAGATCCGTGCTTTATCAGGAAGGTGTGCACTTCAGCTCGCAACTCAAATAGCCTGTTCAGTACTTTTCCACGAGACATCCAGCGCACTTCAGTATGCAGGAGCAGTTCAGTGTGTTCAGCTCCCGTATTTTCACAGAGGCTGCGGAACAAACGTGCGTTAATTGGCCTTGACTTGATGAAGTTTATAA